ACCTACCACCATCAGCCAAACTCAGCCTGGGCAGGACCTGTTCCTACATCTTTCAGAACTCCGAAGAGCTAACTTCCAGCTGTCCAGGACCCCAGGATGGAAGATGGGAATGGGAATGGGCAGAGTGACCATGAGCACCCCAGGAGAAGAGGGGCTCCAGGATCTGGTGACTGGAGGGAGGCCAGCATTGGGTTCTTTCTTCCCCTCCTTTCCTTGGGACAGTGGCCCCTGGAGGCATTGTAGCCCATGCTACAATGTCAGGGTTTTGCCAGGGAATGTGCTCACCCTGACTGGTAGTTCTGGTCATAGAGTCTCTGAGCAGGTATATGGCCACTTCCCAACTCTCACTCCTGGCCCATGGCCACCACACTTTCCAGGTGGGCCCAGACTGGCCAGAGCTATTGCTAGGACTTTGGTCCAGTCTGCCCAAATGCCTATCACAGAACCTCCTGTATCTCTGGAGCAGGTCTGGCCCTTCCCACAGATGTGAGAAAGCTTAGGTCATGGGAGGATCCAAAGCACCCTCAAGCTTTGGAACATGAAGAGGGTTGGTGGTACTACTAATGATTCAGTGGCTGCAGAGGTGGATGGATTGAGATATGGTTGTAGGCGTTAGATTGGAGGTGGGATGGATAGAAACATGCATAGGGATGAATGGTGGAGAGACAAGCAGATGGGTGAAAGGATGAATGGGGGAGGATGGGATCAAGTGATGGTTGTGATATAGTAATGGATGGATAGATGGATGGATGAGTAGATGGATGGATGAATGGATAGATGGGTGAATAGATGGATGGGTGGTCATATGAATAGATGGGTGAGTTGGTGGGTGGATGGATGAATGGACATGACTGAACTGGACAAAAGGATGAAGTGATGAAAAGAGAGAATCAATAAATAACTGTAGATGGGCTGAGGGGATGGGCAGAATGATGGCTGGACATGCTAGCTAGAGAGGGCTGGAATAGGCAAGATGGGTGGATGACAGAGACAAGGCTTTGGTGTCATTTTGAGGATGTATTTGGAAAAACTGGCAAACAGGAGAACTGCCATGTTGCTGGGATAAAAACAAAACCAACACCTCCCTGCCCCTTTCCTGTCCATCTCCCTCTTCCACTGAACCTCCTGGGGCCTTTATGAGTGACCCCATTTGCCAAACCTACAGGAGAGCCCCCTCCTGGGAGACTGGCTTCTCTTTTCCCACAGCTCTAACCCTCTTGGACCCCGGAGGCTTACTCCAGTTTTTTCTCTTTGCCCTGGTCCTGGCTTCCTTGTGTCCTGGTGAGCCTGGGGATGGGCCTCTCTATTCAGATGAGCTCTGGGGTATGCCAGCCTGTCCATGCATGCAATGGGAGGTGCTAGTCTTTGCCAACAGAATACCCCACAGACACCACCTGGGATGGTGACACATCCTAAGAGAAAGACCAGCCTGTGTCCAGGACAGGATGGAAAATAAGGAGACGAGAGGAGGGGGTGGGAAATGTTGAGGGTCACACACCAGGGTACTTTCCACATGGGGGTGAAGGAGAAGGGCCCGGTGTCAGCACACATCCTGCTATACCTTGCCTGTGGGCTTTGGGCTGTGGCCTCAGGAGGTAAAGCTGCCATTTTGGTTTGGAGGGAAGGAGGTGCTTTGAGAGCTGCGCCTCACTAAGCTTTTGGGTCACCTGAGTGGTGGTGACCTGCGGAGAGGAGACCCTGGCAGCCACACCCCTGATCAAAGCTCAGGAGGCACGAGGGCAGAACAGCCCCTGAGCAGACAGCAGGAGGCTAGATCCCCTCGTTGCACAAGAAAGGCAGTGCTCCAGGTCAGATCCAGGTGCTGCATGGACACTCCTGTTTAGCGTCACTATTCCAGGTCCAAGCTATTGATTCCATATTTGGTTGTGAGGTCTTTGGCCACAGGGGGCCTAAGCACAGCGACAGACAGAAACACCAGCTCTCTGAGCATGGAAGGGGGTGCCAGCACCTTCCTCACCACTCCCTGGGCAGGAGTGAGAGGAGCTGCCTACTCGGCTGACACAGCCTTCACCAACTCAGGACTCTCCCGCCCATCCTGGGCCTGGCTTCCTCACTGTAATCCCCTCCCCATCTTGCTGCCATCCCCTGATCCTGAGGATGCTCTAGGCCCGCAGGGGCTCTGCCCTTGGGCCTGTGGCCAGTCACTCATGCTAGGTTACTGCAGCCCCAAGAAGTGGTGGCTTCTTGGAATAAGGAATCTGGATGTGAGAACCACACCACGAAACCTTTTGTAGATGGCTGAGGGCACCCTCTTCCTGATTGCTGGGGTGGGAGGGGCTGTCCCACCTCAGACCCTCTGCCCGTGGTTCAGACCTGGAGGTCGGTCTGACCTGGACGTTGCCCGCTGACCAACATGCTAGTGTCCCTGGCAAACTTGCTTGTCCCCAAAGGGGGGCCATGCAAGGGGCAGGGAAACAGGCTTTCTAGGAAAACCTACGAGTCTCCAGGTGAGGGGCTTCTCCATCAGACCATCAGCCTCACTCCCAAGTCCAGACAGCAGGGATGTGAGTGATTAGGGGCTTTAGCCCTCTTCCACCAGACCCCCAGCGTGCCCAGGGCAGACACTCTCCAGACACCCCGTTTAGCAGCAAACCTTATGGGAACAGAGTCCAAAGCGCCCATCTCCAAGGGGAAGCATGCCCATTTCACTGCACATCCGAAGCTGCCGTTTTAATAGGTACAACGCTTAGAAAAGAGAGCCAGCAGCAGCCTCTGCTGTCCTGAGAGCCCAGATCCCAAACTGGTCCTTGCTTTCCTGAAATCCACAAAAGCAGACCTCTGCGAGTGTGACGGACCCGCTCACCAGGCATCGGAGATGGTGGCTGGGACGGGGAACTTTCTGGAGGATAAGATAGACCCATCTTGGAATTAGGTCTATTTCAGAATTATGTTTTCGCTGTCAAGTGTTGTTCTGGGGCAGCACCTGGTCTGTGGCAACCAGATGAAATCCATCTTTTCAAATACTCAAAGAATGAATTCTTACAACTCCGAAAAAAAAGGTAACAACAATCAAACAAACCCATTGCTCCCCGCAGAACCACAGTTCAGATTTCTTTGAAAACCGATTTCCTACACTTGACATACTTCTGCAGTTTCTCTTAATTTTTTTTTATTTGGCAAACATCTCTTCTTTATTATCATCATGAATATCATTATTTGGACCTCTGCAAGGACTATATACATTCACATTAACGTACACTATTGACTTCTTGCCTCTTGGTGGGGCCCCCCAGGAACCCCGGTTTCAGTAGCTGGTCACTCTCCGTATTGCACTCCAGTCCTGGGAACTTCTCACAGCGATGCAAGAAAATGCCAGATCACGGACCATGCTGCTGTTTGTTCTCCATTGAGCACAGGTGAGAATTCCTTACTCCTTTATTTCCTCCTTGAGATCGCTTGGGGGGGGATTGAGTGGGGAAGGGAGGACAGAGCTAGAGTGAGGGAACATCCCCACTGACGATCAGCTGGACAGAAACGTGAGGTTATACACAGCTGACTAAGCCTCCAAAGGTGTGGAGAGGGCAGACTGTTCTTGGAGTTTTTTTTCTTTTTCTTTTTTTTTTTCTGTAAAAATGTGAAGAAAGAAAAGGTTCAGGGGACACTGGTGGAGGGTGGCGATGGGGCAAAGACGAGTTGGGTGGGGCAGCACTGAGGAGGGGAGAAGAGGTAGAGGAGGAAAACGGAGAAGCAGTCGTTATTGGCGCAGTTGCTGTCTCCTCGTGCTTGGAAAAGCACTCAAGAATCAACCCGAAAGATTGTCACAGTTTTGTTTCAGAATTATGCTCTCTCTGGGAAGGACACGTTAGCACTTTTTTTCACAAGTGGAAGAAATGAAATGTGATGAAAATTCACAGAGGGCGTGAGGACAGATGGAGGCATCTTCCCCTGCACATGTGTAGTGCATGGCTAGGCATGCTCCGTGTGCACACGCAGACACACGCTCGGCGGGTGGGGTGCTGAGGGCTCCAGACCCACTGCCCTGTGCCCAGCAAAGGCATTGCCGTCTAGTCAAAAAGAAACAAAAGTCACTTCTTGCTGGGCAAAACCCTCCAAACCCCAATATCCCAAACTCTAAAAATAGAATAAAAAGGAAAAAACCAACATCTGTACAAACCCAAGAGTGGAGTAAAACAGTGAAAAGAATACTTTGGCAGTGACAAATTTTGGATTTTGACTTCTCGTGTTTGCTTTTTGGATTTCCTTTGGAGCAGAGGTGTGTGCGGCATCCTTGGCTGGCTAGCTGGCAAGGTAGTTTACAGGTATGCTTCCTTTATTTTTTTTTAAAAAACTTTTTGGATTTCTACTTAAAGCCAAAGAGTTTGACATTAAAGGAAAAAAAAAAAAATCTGAAACCAAAAATGCTTCTTGGGTCAGAAACGGAAGTCTTTCTTACCATCTTCACCGAATCAGCCACATACCCATGGGGTAGTCTCGGTGACGCAGAGGCTCAGATCTCTGGCTAGAAAATAACAGTTTTCTTTTTCCCTTTTTAATCAGGAAGGGGAAACCCCCCACCGTTTTTCTTTGTCCATTTCTAAGTGGCTCTTTTGCCATAAAAATCCCCCAAAATTCTTCACTGAAAATATAAGCCACCAAACAACTCGTTTTTTTTTTCATTAAAGAGAAAGTGTTTGAAAGTCATAAAGACAGAAAAAAAGGGAGGGGGAGAAGGAGAAGGAGAGGTAGAGAGAGGGAGAGGGAGGGAGAGGGAAGGGCAGTGGACGAGCTGGTGGCGCCCCAGCGGGGCCCGGGAGGTTCTGAGGATGCTTGAAGAGGTTGTCGCGTGAGATCATCAGGTAGCTGAGGAGGTTGCGTTGAATGCGTTTTTTTGTTGGTTCTGTGTTTTCTTTTGGAGAGAAGCAGTAGCAGCAGTGACTCCAATGGTCGGGCTCCCAGGGCCGGGCGAGGCGTCCGGCAGCTGGGGCTCGGCGGGGTTGGTGGGCGCATGTCTGTGGGCCGAGCAGCGGGTCTAGGAGGGGTCAGCGGGGTGCGGCGTCCAGGGGGCCAGGGGAGCCAGGGCGAGAGGGCCCTGTGGAGCCAGCTTCACTGGGGCTGGCAGCACCCGTGGGCAGGCAGGGGCCCAGGCTGGTGGCGGCGTCGGGCTGTCCTGGCACCGGGTCGGCCACCACGGCCGAGGGGCCCTGCAGGCTCTGGCCGCACACGTGGTGGTGCTTCTCCCAGTCCTTGTGCTGACAGAAGGAGCCGCAGTAGCGCGCTGCGTTGCAGCCGCTGCACGTCTCGCTGGCCTTGCGCCCACAGTTCCAGCAGCTCTGGATCGGGTGGAGGAGAGGGTCAGGGCGGGCCAGGGCTGGGCCACTCCAAATCCCCCAAGTCCCCAGCCCAGCTGCGGAATGGGGAAAGATACCCTCTAAACCAGTGTTTCCCAAACTTCTCTCGTGATGAGAATCACCTGGTGGAGTTGTTAAAATACAGATTCCTGAATCCCAACTAAGAAGTGCTAAGCTAGAATTTCTGGGAACATATAGGTAAAATTGTATACTTTACTAGTGCTCTAAAACCTGTAGTTTAACAACTCCACCAGGTGATTCTCATCATGAGAGAAGTTTGGGAAACACTGCGAGTCTAAACGAATGGGCTCGGACCCAGCCAAGGTGTTGAGACCCCGTAATGCCTCAGCTTGTGGTGATCATTGGGAACATGACCCCTTGGGTGGGGCGTGTTGGGGGAATGGGCATTGCACAACCCTAACCCACCCAGAGAGGTTCCTGGTGGGCTTAGAGAGCCACAGGGGCCTCATGAGGGCAGGGAGCTTCTGCCCCTTCCCTCTCTCCCAGGAAGCCCTCCTGCCCCACCAGGGCTCCGATACAGAATGTGGGGCCCTGGAAGAACAAAGACCGCCACATCCTTCCCCTGCTATTGGGCTTCTGTGGCACAAACAACCCCGCCGGCCGCGTGAGTAAAAGGTGGGCAGGGGCACTGGGGAAGGCCCCAGGCTATGGGACAGAGAAGCAACCCTGCCATGGGGACAGGCCCAGGTGCCCATTTAACCTCCAAAGCCTCTTGGACCCCAACAGCTCCTGCTGTCCCTGGCTCACTCTGGCTCGGCCACACCAGTTTCCTGCAGCCCTCACTCCCCAGATGTGCCTGGCCCCCACTGGCCTTTGTCCCTGCTGCTCCGTCCTGGGACGACACTCTCCCTGATTCCTGCATGTGGGCTTGCTTCCTCCAGGACTGCTCAGACCTCACTGCCAGGGAGCCCTGACTGACCCCACCCTCCTTCCTATACAGGCCCACAGCCTGAAATGCTGCGGGCTTCATGCCAAATACCAGCATGATGATAATCTCACACCCCTCCTGCACGTGCACATGTGCCAGGGGCTGAGGAGGTACTTTAGATGCCACCTGGGGTCTTTACATCCTCCTCTGGCCTCCTGCTTCGCAGGTTAGAGTGAGCATGAGCTCTGGGGTCTGCAAGCCTGGCTGCAAATAAAGGCCCTTCCACTTCCCTGGGCACGCTACCACCCCCCAGAGCCCTCAGTTTCCATCTGTACAACGGGGACACCCACAAGACCCATCTCACCAGGCTGGTGGGGTCAAGAGGCCCTGAGAGCTCATGGGGATGCCAAGATGGCACAACAGCCCCGGACCTGGATTTGGGGTGTGGGGTGGGCACCTACCTCACTGGAGTCCTCCTGCTGGTTGATGACAGTGAGGGCATCCTCGGAGGCCTGCCGCCTGGCCTCGGCCAGGGCCCGCTCCATCTTGGCGCGCTCTGTGCTGATGAGCTCGTGGGCCTTCCGCTCGGCATCTGACACAGCTTTCTGCAGCTCGGACATCGCCTGCCGCTTCACCTCATTCACCGCCTCCTCTGCAAAGGCATGTGGCCACGGTCACAAGGGCTGGCCTACCCAGGTCCCCTGGGTACCGCTCATAACCCTGGGGGCCGGGCTTGTGCATAAGGACCACATGCAGCCCTGCATGGGTGTGCAAGCTTCATCATGGAGAAAACCTCCTAGCTCATCTCCTGCAGTGTTCTCACTCCAGCACGCAGGGTCAGATTTGAGGCAGGGGGCCTGCAGGGCCTAGAATCTGCATTCCTACAAGTTCCAAGTGCTGCTGCTGGTCTTGGCACCCACTTTGAGAAGCACAGCTGTATTGTTCTGTCTCACAGACAGTCTGCCTTTCCCTGTGGCCTGTCTGGATGCAATCCAAGGAATGCCTGGCCTAGGGCTCTGCATTGTTATTTCCCCCCAAAACCCGGCTATCTCCCCCACATTTACCACCTCTGCCTGTTCATGTCTGAGGATTCAGTGCCTTGTTCTTACTGTGGCCAGAGCGTCTGCTCAGATGGCACCCTGCCCTCCGACACTGGGAACAATACAGACCTCTCTGCCTCCACGAAGCCTCCCCATGGCCTTTCAGGCCTGCCTCAGTTTACCTGGCAGTGCTGTTCTTGCAGCGTGGTGTGAAGAAAGCTGGGGTGGGGATAAGGGGCAGAGGTGGCCCTTGAGCCTTCTGTTCCAAGTGTTTGCACACTGTGTGCTGAGCTGCTGGCAATGCCAACTGCAGCTACCTGCCCCCATGTCACCACCTGAGCTCCACATGGTTGTCACCAAGGGCCCCATGAGGCCGCGCTGTGGGCCAGAGGGAGGTGAAGGGGACCGCCAAGGGAAATGAGGACCCACCTCTTCCCGTCCAGGCCGCCTCCTGCCTCAATCTGGGCAGCTGCTGCCTGCCTGGCCCCTTAGCCTCTAACCCTCCACTCTGCTTTCAAAATTCTGAGATTGTCTCCCTCTAAATCATACTCCACACTGAATCTACTCCACGAATCCAAACACAGAGGGATCCTGCCTCTTCTCTGCACTGCCCCCCTCCCCTTTCTCTATCTCTCTCGCTGCCCACAGGCTTCATCTCCTGCCCAGCCTCTCCCCAAAGTATGTTCCCATGATGCAATGAACGTCCCCCGCAGCATTCCCCTGTTGCCATGCTCAACACTACGCCCGGGTTCCAGCTCTAAGTGCCTGTCTCATGTGTGTGTGTGTCTGTGCACTTGGGCCAGGTGCTGGGGTGGGAGGGGCTGTGAGTGTTTTACTGAGCGTGGTGCTCTCCGGGAGGTGAGGGTGGCAATCCTCCTACCCTGATACCAAATGCACTGTGACCCCTCCATTAGTCCCATCTGTGAAACCTGCCAACTTTGCCCTGAGCTTGGGGCCAGGAGAGCCCCCTACCAGACAGAAGCTCCTTGCAGAGAAGGCAAGAGGGTCTAATCTAGGCCTGCAGGCCCCCGGCTTCCTCCTCCCTTCCCCCGCTCCCTCATCCCCACTCACCAGCCTTCCTCCAAATCTCCTCGGGCATGTAGCTGGAGAGGGTCCTGGGCATGAACTCCCGGTGCACATCTGAAACACAGGGGCCAGTGTCACACAGGATGGGGCCATAGGGCCATGTGTCAGTGTGTTCTTGGCAGGGGTCCCAAGGTATCATCCATTGCTGGGCTGGGAGCAGGGCAGCGTCATGTAGGGGGATGCTCTGGACCTGACTGGGAGCTGGGCCCATCCTGAGCCTCTCTTGGTTTCCACGGTCATCACGAGGGGATGAGTGGAGACCCTACAGAACTCTGAGTCTGGGCTTCCTAGCAGGTCCAAGGCTCTCATTATCTCCCCACACTCGCCATCTCTGCCTGCTCAGTGTGTTGAGGCCACTGAGACTTGAGGCTGCTTCCTCGTGGGTCAGGCAGCGTCTTTGTAACCTCTTTTTCAATGAAGCTGTTTTGGGTGGAATTATACTGTGGGGTCTGTATGTGGGCCTTGCTGCCCATGGTCCTGAGCACCCCCCTCTGTGCACCCTGCACCACCTATGCTGCTCTCCCATCATTCCCTCTGTCCCCTCCTACCCCAGCACGCACCTAGCTGAGACCCTTCTGCTCCTGAGGAGCTGCTGAGTGGCCGGGCGGTGGTGGTCGAGGGGCCCTTCTTGGTGTCCTCAGCATCGCTGTAGCGCCGGACCCAGTGGTTGAGCTCCTCGCGGTCCGCCTCCTGGCACCGGCGCAGCACGGTGAGTGACCGCCGTGTCTTCTCGGCCATGTCCATGATGCAGTTCAGGAGCTGTGGGCGAGGGTCGGGCGGCCTAAGCATGCAGGGCCCTTTCCCCACACTCCTGAGCCTTGGCCAGGCCACTGTCCATGAGCTTTGGCCATGTGGGGGAAGGCTTAAGGCTTTGTATGAGGCCCTCCTTGCAAACCTTAAGGTGCAGTCTGCTCCACGGAGCAGCTATGGCCAGCGCCACCCTGGGACCACACCTTCTGCCTAGCTTTTCCCCTGAAAGGAAGCAGGGCCAAGGCTGAACCCGGAATGGTGTTGAAGAGGTGCCACCCCTACACCAAGTGACCTCCCGGGAGACTCTGCAGGGGCAGGGCAGGGCAGGTTCTGAGGGCTGACCGGAGAGTGGAGGGTGGGCTGAGATGGGTGCTCTCCTTACCCCCATACTCTCAGGGCCCACTCTCCCCAAGGCCTTGCCCCATGCCCCCCAGGTGGGCACAGAGTAAAGGGGAGCCCGCCTGAGCCACAGGCTGGGCAGACTGGCACCTGTGCCCCGGCCTGGCACTCACGTTGTTGAGGTGCTTCCACTCCTCTGCCCACTCGCGCTCCGTGAGCCTGTGGTCGATCACCTCCTCTGGCCGTGACCCGTGGACCACTGCAGGGGGAGAGTGGACACTCAGGCCCACCCATGCGCCCAGGCCCTACCCCACGCTCCCCCAGGCTCCGCCCTGTGCTCTGCCTCCACAGGCTGTACCCGCCTGGGTAAGGTGGGGAGGGTGAAAAAGAGGACCCGGGGCACTGACCCTCAGCCCACTGTCCTGAGAGGGTCAGGAACAGGCCTGGCCTCTACTCAGGGCGTCAGAGTAAAAGACCCATGTCCTCAATCCTCGATCTGGCTTTGGCCACCCTTCCCCTGCCTCCCTCCCTCTAAATCCCACTGTTCTCACTCTTTCTGCCCTCTGCTGCCAACCAAGCCAGACTCAGACTTCTCTTCTGGGGTCTCACCACTGCTCAGAAGCTCTCAGGGCCTCCGTGTGCCAACTGCCTGGCTTCAGCCAAGCTTTGCCCGTTCCTCTCAGCCAGCTGGACTCCTATGCATCCATCAAAGCCCAGTCATGAGCCCTTCCTCCTCAGTAGCTCTGGGCACTCAGAATTTCTTAAGTTCCGTGTATCTCAGGTTATTTGGTGACTGTAGGTGCTTCCTTGTTTATTCCCGGTCCTCCCCTCACCCAAACAGGCTGTGCCAGTCCGCAGGGCCGGCCTGGCATGTCTATCTCTATCCCCTGAGCCGACCTGTGACCCAGCACGTGCTCCAACTTATCTGCTGAGTCTCAAATGAACCGGTCCGCCTGTGGTCTCCTAGGAGACAGAGGCAGGGTCAGGAAGCCAGTAGTCCTGACGATCATTCCCCACAGGACCTGGGACCTTCATTTTTCCTCTCCAGGCCTCAGTTTCCCTATCCCGCCCCTCTCAGGGGTGTGGGAAGACTTTTAGGAGGCACATTGGTGGGGAGAACCCGGGTATAAGCAGCTCTGCACCAAGTGCTCTACACCTCTCATCCCCGCACGGACCTTGAAGGAAGCTCTGCTGTCATTTCCAATTTACAGGGAACCGAGAGAACTGAGGCTGCTGAAGGGGACGTATTTGCCCAAGGTCACCCAAGGTCAGCACGAGCAGAGCTGTGCCTTCAGCCACTGGCTGGTATGGCTCCAGGGACTGGAACAATTGCTCCCCCAATCAGAAACTAAACCATCGTGAGCTGTGAAATGCGCACAAGTGCAGCAGCACCTGTCCCCACCATGGCTCCTCTCACCGTTTCTGACTGCCCAAGTGCTCGCGCCCCCACTGTTCTGGGAGTCTATGTTGGGTGATGCAGTGCCCGTGAGTGCTTTTGGGCTAAGGTCTCTCTATCTAGGCTTTCTTCAGCTCCTAAGGGTCTTCTGGACCCACAAACTCAAAATGCCTCTCCAGATTGCCGAAGGGGTGGGAGGTGGCAGCCACCATCCGCTGTCCACGGCCCTGCCCTGTTGCCTGCGGAGCCAGAGCCTTCGCCAACGCCCCAACCAAAATAGTGGCTGAGATCTGCCCAACAGCTGGTGTCTATTTTTGCATTAGCAGAAGCGGGTGGGAATAGCACCTGCCTGACCCGGCCACGGGGCCAGACACTGTCACCTGCTGCCTGGGCCGGGGCCCTGGAAGCTTCTGCGGAGTGGGGGCGAGGAGGCGGCCTTGTATGGAGTGAGGCCTCTGCTGACCCTGCCTCGGGGCCCCCTTTCAGTGTCCTGGGCCTCTATCTTAGAGGCTGCTGTTTCTAGGCTGTCCCCCAATACTCTGGGTAGGAGCTGGTCCTGCTCATCTCTTTGTTCCCCAGGTCAGTGGTCTGGCAGATGTGGCTAGAAGACTTTGGGCACGTCAATTATGATCTCTGGACCTCCGTTATATGGTGTGCTCCTTTACACGACCCTGAGGGTGAGACTCCTGTTAGAGCCCGCCAACAGAGGAGGAAACAGAGGCACAGAGGTCATGTGACCTGCCCAACGGTATATCATAGGGAGTCCTCGGAGCTCAGAGGAATGGCAGTCCCGAGCCCTTGCTCTCACCATGAAACCCTTGCTCCTCCCAGTGCCCATGCTCTTAAGAATTTGGTGTTTTGGCCGAAGCCGGTTTGGCTCAGTGGATGGAGCGTCGGCCTGCGGACTGAAGGGTCCCAGGTTCGATTCCAGTCAGAGGCATGTGCCTTGGTTGTGGGAGCATCCCCAGTGTGGGGGTGTGCAGGAGGCAGCTGATCGATGTTCTGCTCTCATCGATGTTTCTGGCTCTCTATCCCTCTCCCTTCCTCTCTGTGAAAAAATCAATAAAATATATTTTTAAAAAAGAAATTTGTGTTTTGGTGTTCGTTTTCATCCTGCTTCAAGAGCAGGATGGGCATGTGTGGTCAGTGGGCCCAGCGAGAGCTCTTGAGTCTTAGGGGTGTCTGCTTTCCCTCAGGGTGCCAGCCATGCATGTGGGAATGCCTTGGAGCCAGGGGCTGCAGCTCCTGTGACTTGGGGGCCCCACAAGCTAGAACTTCCCGTACACGGTTCTTCTGGCTGGCCTGTGAACCGCAGGAAACAAGCAAGTGGTCATTCATGGCCAAAATATCGCTCTCCTATATAGTCTTCATCCAGGGTTCCTGGCTCACAGCTCCCAAACCCTTGGAATTTCCTAAGCGTAGAGAGCGATACAGGTGTCTTTTCTTAATGTTAGTGAGCTGACTTTAGAACAAGATGAGGGCTGTTTGCTCAGAGAACCAACCACAGGAGTACAGGGCTGGACTTTTAGTCCACCCATGACCTCCAGGCTGGGGAGAGGGGCTGGAGGCTGAATCAGCTGCCAGTGGCCAGTGATTTAATCAGTCGTGCCTAGGCAATGAGGCCTCCATAAAACCAACAAAGAAGGTTTGGAGAGCTTCTGGGCTGATGGACACGGAGATTGGGAGAGGGCGTAGAAACACCTCACCCTGTTCCCATCCCTTGCCATGTGCATGTCTACCTGGCTGTACCTGAGTTGTAACCTTCTATAATAAACAGGTAATCTAGGAAGGAAATGTTTCTCTGAGTCTGTGAGCCATGCTAGCGAATTAATTGAACGCAAGGTGGGGGTCTGATTTGTAGTCAGTTGGCCAGAAGCACAGGTGACAACCTGGACTTGTAACTGGCACTGAAGGGGGTGGGCAGTCTTGTAGGACCGCACCCTTAGCCTATGGGGCCTATGCAGTCTCCAGGTAGAATGTCAGAATTGAGTTCAATCGTAGGACACTATGCTGTCGTCCAAGGATTGCTTGATGTTGTCTGGGAAGCACCCCCCACGTGGAAATTGGGTCCAGGAAGATAATTTATTGCCCTCTCTCTGCCCCAGCTGCAGAGCCTGGTGGCCTCCCTTTTTCCTTGTCACTATAACGAGGTGACACACCTATACAGGGGCCAAGGGCGAATGGAGTGGCTCTAGGTGCCCCAGGCCCCACACCTGTCTGTGCTTGCCTCCAGTCAGGCTGGCCCAGTCAGGCACATTCACAATCATGTCCCCTGGGAGGGAAGGGACCGTCTGGTCCCCGAGGGTGAGGATGTTGAACCACACCCCAGATGGAGGTCTGGGAAAGATGGCTCTCCCGCAGAAGCTTCCAGAACCCAGCCAGGATGGGGATCCCCTGTGCCCTGGGCCCAGTTCCCACTCTCATCCTTTCTCTACACCCATCTACTCTGCGTCTGGACGCATGCACACAGTGACTCTTGAATGCTCTCCCCACACACAGGTGCACATGTGCTCCTGCTAACACGCGCACGCGCACACCAACCCCTGCCCCAGAACACTGCTCACTGAGTTGCCGGTGGCGCTCCCGAAGCTCCCGGGGGTCAGGGTGGCGATAGGAGTCACGGGAGTGGTGGGCCAAGGCCATGTCCTCAAGGCGGTAGTGTGGCGGCGTGGGGTGGGGCAGCCCGTTGCTGGGGCTGAAGCGCTGGGCGGGGCTCAGGGTGCACGGCCGTTTGCTGAGGGGGTCAGGGTGCAGCGGGTCGCGGTCTGACCCATTCTCTTTGGTCCTGGCCAAGAGAGCGGGCGGGAGGTCAGTGGTCACAGAACGAGGAGCCGTGGATAGAAGTCCAAGCAGGAGCAGTGAGAGGGGGAGAGAGGTGGTGGGCAGAGAGAGAAAGAGTAAGGTGGAGACAGGGAGAGATGAAACCAGTCCCCTGGGGGCCCAGCCTTGATTCCCGCCCCTGGTGTGCCGGCTCTGGGGCGCAGGGTCACAAGTCTGAACGTCTGCTGAGAGAACGAAGAGAGGGGGGCACCCTCTCCTGGCAGTGGGACAGGCACCCATCTCTGTGACCCAGCAGTGAGGGCCGCCCATGTGCCGGGTTCTCAGGCTCCTGGACACGGGGTCCACATCTAGCACAAAGGGAATCACCATGGAATTCCCACCAGACTCCCCTCCTGCCTATCCCCTTCCCCTCGGGGGGGACATCCGAGTCCTCAGGAGACCTCCCTGCAGCCTGACAGGACAGCCTCTCTGAGTGAGCTGTGCAATGGCCTTGCCTGTAAGGCTGAACTTGACCAGCTTGCTCACTCGCTGCAGGCGAGAACACTGACCCCAATTCTCTCAGACCTGGAACGAGGGTGCCTGGGGAGCTGTGGTACCAGAGCCAGCTGGTCCCCTCACTGTCTCCCTCCCCGGCTGCAGAAAGCCCGAGTACCTGTCAGGAGTCCTCCTCTTGCCGTTCTCATTGACTTCCAGCAGGAGCTCCGAGGAGTCAATGGGGGAAGAGGCGTTGGCATCCAGCAGGAGCTGCTCGTGCTGGGCCAGGTACTGGGCAGGGGTCTGCTTGGCCAGGCGGGCGCAGTGCAGGAGCTCACGCTGCAGCAAGGGCAGGTTTGCCTGTGGGAGGACACACGGTGGGCTTGGGCACAAGGGGACACAGCCTCGCTCTAATGCCAGGCACGGTGGCATCTGGAGAAGGTGAGGAGAGGACCAGGAGGACGGTTCCTTGCCTGCGCCCGTGGAAGCAGGCACCAGGTCACCCCTGTGTGGAGAAGGAAACTAGGGCTCTGAGCGAGGGAGTGGGCAGCCCTGCACACAGCCACATAGAGGAGGAGCTGGGAGCGGGACTCACGTGTCTGCTCGGTGCCCCCATATGTGCTGATGGAAGCCCCTGCACAGCCCTGAACGAACCTCAGCGTGTGGGCTGCGCACACTAGTCACTGCCCGTGGCTGCACCACCCATGGTCTTCCCACCTTCAGGATGGACACTGTGACTGGTCCCACATTTACGGGTAAGGACACTAGGGCACTGAGTTGAGGGTGGGGTGATACGTTGGGATGCACAGGGTTCAAATGCAGATCCTGCCTGTAGCAGCTATGCCCTCCTCCCTGGGCCCTTGCCCTGGCTCTGGGGCTCCCAGAATGCCCTGCTGGGTGGCAAAGGGGGTCCTCATGTGACTTCCAAAGAGACTGTGGTCCCAGAGCCACCGTGGTGAGTGGGGGTTGTGGGGGGAAGGGGTAGTAGGCTGGATGGAGGCCCAGCAGCAGGCCACTTGGGAGAGCCAGAGTTCTAAGTATTTGTAAATAATTACAATTTCCCAACTTTCTCATGGCGTTTCAAAGCTGCCACACAGCCTTCTCCTGCCTCTGCCTCCCCAGGACCTACCAGCACACCCGGGCCCAATCAAGCGGCCGATGCAGTTTTGTCAAGCAGCGCCGGCTGCCAGGTCTGTTTTTCTATTTGGATAGCTGAACGCGCGCCAGCCCGCCATCTGTCCAACATGTTAGGAGCATGAGCTGGGAAAGGAGGTCCCGGGAGGTCTGAAGACGCCAAACATCCTCCTCGCCGGCCCCTCCTCTCCCTCGCAGCCTCCCTCTGGCCGGCCCAGGAGGGCGGTACTGCACGGGCACCGGCTGGTTGCTGTTGGGATGGTAGAAACATCTGGATTCTTGGCCGGCTGGGGCCAGCTGGGAGCCGGGACCACGGGTGGAGGCTGGCTGGGCGGGGCAGCCTCTTCCAGCTTCTGGAAAGCCCGAACACTCAGCCATGCACAGTGTTGAGCTCAGCACAGGATGCAGGGGGCCCAGGGTCCTGGGGATGGGAGCACAGGGACCCCAGCCCAGAAGAAATGGGTGGGGAGCCATGTCTGGCAGATGCCTCCAGGCAGCACTTCCCATTGTGTCCCTAAAGGCCCAGGTGCCAAGGAGGCCTCCCACTTTGGTGCTGGACAGACTAAACTGGTGGCAAAGATCTCTGGGCCTCAACTCTACTGTCTGAATGAAGGTTCTGACGCTGCAGAGAAGCCTGGAGCTACCCTCTTCCCAGATGGGAACTCTGTTCCAGAGGGAAGTCAGTGTTTGCAAAAACCACCACAATAATGGTGTCAGCTGAGCTGACATCTTCCACAAACCGCAGGCCTGTGGCCAGCCCACCCTGCGTTGCCGTGTGACCTTGGGAAAGTCACTTAGTCACTTAACCCCTTTGGCTTCTGCCTCATCTGCAACCGGAGCTGTGAACAGCACCGGCTCCTTCCGTCCTGGACAGGAAGGGCTTCTTATGAATGAACTCCTTCGTTCCAACCCCTGTGAGGTGCTGTCACATCCCAGTGAGGGGAGAGGACTGAGGCCAGAGCCTTTCCGGAGCCCACGGGTGGAGCTGGGGTTTGAGCCTGAGCTGCATTCTCAGCCAGAGTTCCTGCCTCTCTGCAGCACGACAGCTCCAAGGGCCCTGCTGTCCGGGTGCATCACTGCTGCCCACACGGAGGGCCTAGTACACCACCGTACCCGCGAAGGTCACGGAGGAGGGGACACAGTGGGTCGGGCAGGGAGCACTCCTGCTGGGATCCCCCGCAATGCTCTGGGTTCTAAAGGGGCTGGAGCTCCTACAACAAGGAGGATAGGGGCCGCTCCCCAGGCAGGACCATGCGGACAGGCCAGGGCCTTGTCAACAACCCCTGGGAACAGAACTGGCTGCCCCCCAGGAGCTGCATGTCAGTGAGAGGAATGGACTGTGTCCTTGACAGTCCTGTCAACCCGGGGCCCTGGGTGGGATCCCAGGCCCCAGGTGCTGCAGGCCGGTCGCTCATCCTATAGAAAGAGCAATCTAGGCACAAAATCCCTAGTGGCATATGAGAACTGCTGTGGACAGAGGGGAAACTGAGGCAGAGAGCTACCTCAGCAGGCAGTGCTAGGCTGGGCATGTCCTGTCCAGCGCCTCATTGGGGGTGTGTCAGGGGGGGATGTTGGGGTGCAAGGCACAGTGGGCATTGGGCAGGGCCTGGCTGGGGCGAGCAGGGGACACGGATGTTGGCCCTACCCCTGCTCCTCAGATAAACAAGGGCAGCTGACGCGGGCGGGCTGGACATCTGCTGTAAATATTTGATCCGACAGAATAAGCAGGCGCACTGTGTCCCCAAAGATGGGGAGTGGTGGAGTCAGCAGTAAGTTGAAAGGAGGAGAGAGAAGGGAAGGGCTCCTAATGAATTGCAAATGACTGCCAGATGGGCCCAAACCCTGCTCCATGCCAGCAGCCTCTTTGTCGCCAGCTTAGGAGTGTGAGCTCAGTGGGGTGTGGGCGGAAGGGCAGGAAGGAGAGAGGGAGCGAGTAGGTGTGGGGGCACCAAGTGGGGTCCCCTTGGCAAGGGACTGCAGGGGACAAGGTGTGGGTCTGGGACACACCCTGGAAAAGCAGGGGGTGTTTGGAGGCTGATGGATCCAGGTCCCAGCCTTGGCTCCATCTCTCCTCTAGCAGGGGAGACCTCAGGGCCTCAGTTTCCCCACTTGTTAATCGGGAACAATGCCTGTGCCACCCCTCCTCACAGGGAGCCTGGGGACCAGCAGGGGCAGTGCTGAAGGTCGTTTTGCAAAGCATGCCTCGTCTGCAAAACATCTTTAAATCTCAGATGACAAAAGCCAATTCTTCACGCGCATTGCTTCATGCAGTCTTCCCAACAGCCTAAAAACGAGTCCCATTTTACAGTTGCGAAAAACGAGGCATGGAGGGGTAAACCAGCCTGGCCCAGGCCAACGGGGGCTCAGTTGCAGGGGCGGGGCTCAATCCTGGGAGTGTCTAGTCTGCTCTGTCCTCAAGACCACCAGGGCCCGGCCATGCGGGGAGTAGGGCCCACTCTGGAAGCATCTCAGAGGCCTGGGAAATGACAGCCCCAGGAACCCTGACCTCAGGAGGTACACAGCAGCAAAGGGTCATGGGGTCAAAGACATTTGGGAATTGTTTCCTCTTGGCCCTTCTGGGAGGTGGGGGACCCTTGTTTAGGGGAGTGAAGGCCCTGAGAAGTACTGCAGTGAAGACTCTGCTGTAACATGGTCTAGGCCTGTGCCTGTCCTTGTTGAAATGTTGGTGCTGATTCAGTGGGCCTGGGTTAAGCCCAGGAACCTGCATTGCTCATAAGCCCCTGGGCCCCTGGTGCTGCCACCAGACACCAGCTATTCCCTCTGAGAGGCCTGGCCTATTGTTTATCTTCCATGTTTGACCACACGACCTTTTTTTTTTTTTTTTTTTTTTTTTTTTTACATCTGACAGCATTCATTTATCCACCTTTCCACCAACATACCACCCACCATCTGTCTGTCCACCCACCTGTCCCTCCATCTGTCCTCTGTCCCTTCCCCCTCACTGTGCCTCAAACATAGCAGGCACACCCTTCTTCAGAGCCTTTGCACGTGCTTGGAAGGCTCTGTACCCTGCTCTCCACCGGGGTGCCCCCCTCCCTTCCACAGCCCTCATCATTTGCCCCTTCCAGTGTCACACATCACAGAACTTACAGCTATTGCTGGTTGGCTGTTTCCCATCCCACCAGGCCACTGATTCCAGAAGGGACTGTGTCTGTTTTGCTTACTGCTATCTCCCTACGCCTTGCACTGCACCTGGCATGTAATACGTGCTCAAAAAATAGCTGTACAGTAGACAAGTGCCTTTAGCCAATCCTATATAATAAAAGGCTAATATGCAAATTGTCCCCTGTGGAGATAAACCAGGAGACGGGGAGTTCGTTTGCTTGCTAGGACATGCACTGACCACCAGGGGGTGGCGTGGAACATGCTGGGTGACTAGCAGCGGTGGTGGGGTGCTGAGGAAGCAAGGGAAGGAGGAGGTGGGGAGGCCGACAGGTGGGGAACCTGATTGGCCCTGATCGCTGGCCAGGCCTAGGGACCCTACCCATGTGCGAATTTCACGCACCAGGCCTTTAGTATCTAAAAAACAACAGGACTGATTGGAGAGCTCTCTTACAGCCCTGGGTTTGGTGGCTGACTAACCTGGTCTGGCAACTAGTCTGAGCTGTTCCCTGAGTACTGGATGGCTGAGCATGCTGCCTGGTCAGAGCTGTCAGAGAATGAACCTGGGGCTCCTGGGGGTGGCCTTGGCACGAGGGAGCAGGGTTTGCTGTTACCTTCAGGAAAGGGATGACAAATGGGCGCAGTGGGAAGTTGGTGGCCTCCTGAAGCTTGGAATGAAACTCCTCAATGGTCAGTGTAGAGTTCTGAGGGGAGAAAACCACCACGCATCAGCCCAAGCTCCGCCGCCCAGCCGGAAGAGGGCAGGAGGCCCCAGGGCTGGGCACGACCCAGTGCCCCCGCGTCCCCGCTCAGCAGACTCATCCTCTGTGGCCAGGCCGCCCCACTCACCACAAGCCCCAGCACCAGCGTGCGGACGCGTTCCCCGATCTCTGGGGAGATGTCGCTCCCGAACTGCTGCAGGGTGGTGAGGAAGCGCTTGAGCTTGCTGAGCTGCCGTGCCCCGCAGGCCGGGGGCAGGTGCTGTGTGGACAGCGAGGCCGTGGAGGAGGTGGCTGGGCCGTTGCTGAAGCCATTGGGCGTGGACGGGGTGCCGTTGATGGCTGTCGGCGAGTGGCTGCTGCCGTTCATTACTGTGTGGGGAGGGGGGGAGGAGAGGGGAGTGAGGAGCACAGCAGAGAGCCCGAGTCCCCACTTAGAGTCACAGGGATGTCATGGGAGCACCACACCCTTTACAGATGCGTAATCTCGGGCCTTAGTGAGTGGGGGCTGCTTGGTCGGCCCCTCCACACTCCAGGGCGGGACACCAGGCATCCACCTGCCTCCCAGCCAGGCTGCTCAGTGTCCATTGTGAACAGACAGAGGGGCTTCTCCACTATAGGGACCTGCTGGCCCCCTTCCCCTCTCCTCGGGGGAGGCCACCCCCCTCCATCCTGCTCCATCATGACAGCCCTGCGAGGTGCCCATTTCCAAAGAGGTGCCATCGCCCACACAAGGGCTCCAATCCCTGTGCTGATGGGACTCAGGTGGGGCAGAGGGACCCAGACACCCCGGGACAAGTGGGGCTGGATCCCGGCTGGGGAGCCTCTGGGCTGGCTGCTGTTGTGCAGGCCGCATGTGGAGAACCAGCAAGTTACCTAAGGGACCCAAATGCACACATGGCAGCGGCCCAAGCAGTACTGTGAGCTACCCAGGCCCTGGGGATATCACCCAGCCAGTCCCAGGACTGGCAGAGGTCAGGGGTGCTGAGAAATGGTCCCAGGACAGGACCTCCGCCCTCAGCCTTGGGCGACAGAGCTTTTACACTGGAGCTAGGGAGCCCTCGGTGCCTGGTCACCTGCACCCCTGTCCCCCAGCCTCAGAAACCCTAGTGATGACCACAAGGGTCTACAGAGAGGTCAGAGGTCACAGGCTCCCAGGGCCTTTGGTAAGGGTGAAGAAGCTTGATATTTCTGGGAGAGCTGAGGCTCCACTGCTAACCCTGGGGGCCATTCACACCCGGCGTCCTTGGCTACCGCACCGGCACCTGCTCCCGGCGGCTCACTCCTGTTCTTATACTCAACCCCTTGTGTGCTCATCTGCCTGCTCCCTCGTCCGACACCTGTGGGCCCTCCTGGCACGGGGGTTGGGAGAGGGCATCCTGCCTGAGGCCCTATACCACCTGCACTAGCTTGGGGCCCGGCCCTGGTTTCTTCATATGCAAATGAGCCTGGCCCCAAACCAGGGGTGGAGCTTCCCGACTCCACAGGTGCTGGGCCCCTCTGCTCCAGGCTTCCACGGCTGACTGAACCACGGTTGCTCTTCTACCCACGGTAGGAGCAAGCCAGAAATGCTTGACCTTGATTGCTTTTACATGTGGGTGGTCTCTCATCCATAACTGGCCCCCCACTGAGCAGAGGCCAGGGTTGACACCATGAGAGTGAAACCTGCCTGCCTCCCTGGTCCGGATGGCCGCAGGAGCACCCCTGGACCCTAGAAGTGACACCAGCTCTGGAATAGTCCTGCAGGGAGGTGTGCCTCGCTCAGCCTTCCCTCTCACTCTGGGATGAAGAGAGAACTCCAAACACAGGGCAGGAGAGGCCCTGTCCTTCCCCCGTCTGAGGCATCGTCCAGAGGACCCTCGGGCAGACAGAAGACTCTGCTGTTGTGCTAATTTCCTGTCTCACCAGCGAGCTCCAGCCAACCCCCTCGGCGGTCCCTGACACACATGCAAGGACCCTGGTACACAATGGCAAGGAGGACCACACACACCCGCTGGTCAAGACTGACGCCAGCCGCCAGCGGTCACACCGGCCAGGCCAGGAGACGGCCCACTGCCACGGAGACCTCTCCGCAGTGGGGGGCTCACTCCGAGTGGCAGAACTGGGCTATCACCTGGGGTCTGGACCTTCCAGAGGCTTCTAAGATGTGCGGCTGTCCATGCTTCCTGGGTTCCCACCCACGGCCCCTGGCCCAGCCTGGGCCCAGCCTCCCTGCAGCTCCCTTACCAGCCTGCCCTCGGTGCCTGGGTCCTCCCGGAGGCCTGCTTGCCCTCGCTGGCCCGTGCTCCCTCCCTCAGGCTGCCGGGCAGTCTCAGCAGCTTGCTAAAGAGACGCCGAAAATAACCCCCGGCCACAAGTGCTTTCATTCCACAACAGGTGTGTTACTAAGTTAGACCGCCCACGTGTCCCCGGCTGAGGTTTGGGGGCACACACGAGCACCCCCGCAGCTCCCCAGCCCTGGGCCTGGGCGGGGGTCAGGCTGGGATGAGGAACCAACAAACAGCCTCCCTGCTGGCCCCTCTCCCTGCTGCAGCAGCGGCTCTGGGGCTGGGATCACACCGTCCCGGTAGCGCCGCAGCTCAGCGACGGCTGGACCTGAGAGGAAGGCCAGGCATCCCAGAATAATGGCAAGGAGGACCACGCACCACAGGACATAAATAATGCACAATCATTATGTCACCTCCTCTTGGAGCCCGAGCTGCGCCGCAGCCACGCCTGGGCTGAGCAGCCCAACTGGCGTGTAGCGGGTGCCTGTCCCGACGCCGGCTGACAACGCTCTGAGCATTTCTCCGTGAAAACTTCCCATTACGGACATCGGCTGTGGCCAAGCACTTTGACGGAAATGTCCACTAGTGACCATAATGTCCACTGAGCACCCAGTATGTGCCAGGCCTCCCGCCGACTCCACCAGCAGCATATGATGACTTATGGGGAAACTGAAGCATGGATGGTGGTACCTGCCCAAGGTCACCCCATTGGGAAGAGGAGCTGGGATCTGACCGGGGCTGGGGTCTGCCCTTGAGACGCTAAGCTACAGACGTGCATTGACATTCTACCTTCTCACAACTCTGGGTTTGGCCATATGCACCCTGTCTGTGGATCGGGGAAAAGGAACCCCGAGGGTGTCCACCTGCTTAAGGTCACAAGAGTCATGAGGAGCAAGGGGGGGGGGGGGCGGTGACTGTGGGTCTGAGGACTCTGAGTGCTCTGCTCTCCTGGGCCTGCCCCTCAGACCTCTCTCCTCAGACCTCACTGACATGCAATAGTGAATTGTGTAGGCAAGTGGGGTCATCGTCAAGGCCTTCCCAGGCAGAGGGTGCGGGCGAGGACCTCCTGGGAGGCCTGTGGTTTTTGTTATTTTACTTACAAAGACAGACCATAGACCATTTTAAGCAGCCATGAAAACGGCCGTGGGGCAGAGACATCGCAGGCCCGTCCTCTCGATCTGTAAGCAAAATAAGAAAAACACTCTGTGAGGAAGGGGGCCAGGGGCAGGCGGCTCTGCCCTGCGGGGTGTCTCAGTCGGCCCCTCTCCACTCTGCTTTAGGACAGCAGTTTTGGAGATTGGGGCTGTCACCACCTTAGGCCAGTCATTCCCTTCTGTAGGTCTCAGTTCTCTCTGTTCCCTGAAGGGGCTTGACTGTGGGATCTTTTAAGGACATTTCCGGTGGGACCTTCCAGGGGCCTACAAGGATTTTGGCATCTCTATCTGCATGAGTGGGGTCCCTGGTTCTTAAAACGTTCTCTTCCTGGGAGGTTCCTGATGACCCCACTCAGCACCATCCTCAAGGAGCCTGGAGCCTGAGCTGACTTGTGAATCAGGGCTAGGGCTTTCCATCGACAGACAACCCAATAGTGGTTCCAAAATGAAGCACAGGACCAAACTGCCATGAGGGGAGGAAGCACCAAACAGGAAGGAAGATTCGATTTGTCTGAGCGGAATTAGTGAGAGGAAGCTAAAAGGAGACAGGTTATGCTGCTGTAATCAAAAAGTGAGCCCCCTGTCACATGGGGTAATCAAGGGAAGGATGAAGTTTTAGCCCTTTGAGGGTCCTCCCAGCTTCAGAGTAGCTCCTTACATTACTTCCCAGAGTTTTCTCAGGCCCCTTCCTTTCCCTCCCCCCTCCATCTCCCTAGCCCAGTGGTCAGCAAACTCATTAGTCAACAGAGCCAAATATCAATAGTACAACGATTGAAATTTCTTTTGAGAGCCAAAATTTTAAACTTAAACTTCTTCAAAATTGACTTGCCTAGGCTATAGCATTTTGTGGAAGAGTCACACTCAAGGGGCCAAAGAGCCGCATGTGGCTCACTAGCCACGGTTTGCCGACCACTGCCCTAGCCACACCACAGCTTCAACTCCAAAATGAATTTGTGCCTAGGCGGTCACTGGGCAAGAAAACCACAGCCCTCCAGCTCTGGTTCAAGGTCAGCCTCTGGTCAGCTTGGCCCACAGGCTGGTACCAGGGAAGCTGGAGAGCCTCTTGGCAGGAATCCGAGGCTGAGCACAGAGGCTCCGTCCATTCAGGCTGCCACCAGCCAGGTGCATGGACATGGTTAACCACCTGCTTTCAGGGAATTCTTCGGTAGGGAACAAATCTGAGGCCACCTAGAGGTGGCCTGACACCCAGAGAGATGGCCCCAGCAGCCCCATGAAACTAAAGCATCAGCTCAGAAAAGAATTACTTGTCTCTTGTGACCTCTGTGCTCTAAATAGAGCCGGGACCTCGAATCCAGGAGCATGAGCCCGCAGTGGTGGGGGCGCATGGGGACGGGATGGGTGTAAGGGGAGGCCCCTGAGCCACACACAGGCCTTCTGCCCACACGCACACCTGTTCACAGGCCTCCTGAAAGCACACACGGGTGGTGTCAACTGACCTTCGCCCTGCCCCCAACCCGAAACATCTGGTTCCCAGACCACTGCTTTCTGGAACATGGGCTCCTGGACCAAGGAGTAAAGTAGGCTGAGGGAGACGCATGTGCCCATGAGGGTTGGGGACCCAGCTTGGAGCCTTGGCCTGACCTCCAAGTGTCTGCTGGCTTCCCCTGCTTGGAACCGAACCCGAAATGGGCTGTCACTGTAGGTGGTGGCCCATGGCCTACTTCCTTGGGAGCGGCTGCTGCCCTGCAGGAGTAATTCCTTTTTCTCCCTGGCTGAGGTGCAGGCTGGGAAGTTAAATACAACACCCCCTCCCCCTCTTTCTACCTACGGGGCCCTGACAGGGTGGCATCTGTTGAGTAGATGCTGCTTGCGTTTCAGTCGGAGGTGAAGACTGACTCTGCCAAAGAGAGGACAGGATGACCAGGGGCCAGCGCCATGTGAGACTTGTGTGTGGGAGAAAGCCCCGCCTCCAGCCCCTGCCAGTGTGCCTGACGAAGGCAGACGTGGACCTGTGGATGAGAACAGTGCAGAGAGCTCTGCTGCCCGGGGCCCGTCCTGGGCAGGAGGCAGGGCTGAGGACCTGACCCAGTCTCTGTGGTGCATGGGGACCCTCACTAAGACCTGGTAGAAAGGGGGTGCTGGAACCTTCTGTGCCAAGTGAAGGTGTAGGGAGAGGTATTGGTCCCTAAGCTCCTACTGTGTGCTGAGATGTCTCTGTTTTCAAGCTGCTGCACATGGCACAGGTGATATCACTCCATTTAGCAAACTGAGGCTCAGAGGGTCAGTTGGCTTAAGCCAATAACCTACAAACAAGGGGCCGAGCCAATGCCTTCTTCCCGAGGGAGGCTGGTCCACGAAGCTGGGGCCAGCCTTGGGTGTCCAGACACAGATTCTAGATCTAGACCCGGTGCCCTTTGTGTCTAGACACAGAGATCCAGACCGGCCTTGTGGTTCACCCCACGCTCTGGGCAGACCTATGGGTCCTGTCGGGAGGCAGCAGCTCTTACTTCGTAGCCCAGTGAGGACCAGAAGCCGTAGGCTAAGGCAGTGGTTGGCAAACCGTGGCTTGGGAGCCACATGTGGCTCTTTGGCCCCTTGAGTGTGGCTCTTCCACAAAATACTACGTGCTGGCGCACACGCACAGTGCGATGGAAACTTCGTGGCCCACGTGCAGAAGTCAGTTTTCAGCCTGGGCGAGTCTAGTTTGAAGAAGTGACGTTAGAACACTCGAGGGACCAAAGAGCTGTACGTGGCTCGTGAGCCGTGGTTTTTGGACCACTGGGCTAAGGAGTCTGAGGCTTCCTTTGGGGTTCAAAGCCTGGGGAAGGGACCTTAGGTATGGGGCTTCTGACCTCTGAACATAGGGGTGGGGGTGGTACACGGATTCTCTCCAATGCCCATCAGAAACCCTCAGGACACACTCACTGCTAAGCCCCTGGCCCAAACCTGAGGATTTCCTTTCCAACTGCTCAGAACCCAAAATCACGAGTCCCTAACTTCTCTGACGCTAAGGAACAGGACTCCGGCAGTGGTGGTGGGTTCCGGAGGACTCAGAGCTGCTGTAAGCGTCGTGACACCCAACCTAAGGGTCTGTTCTACCCACTTCACTGCTGGCCGCTGAGGCCCTGCTGACCTCAGTTCCTGGCCACCCTGCGCCCCCGCCGAGGCCTGGCTGCAGGCCCCTGGCGTTAGAGCCAGCGCGTGGCTTGCTGAGACCAGAGCCGCCCTGATGGGCTCTCCAGCAGGTGCGGGCCTGACTGAATTCACCTGCACTCAGCAACCTGCTGTCTGACGGGGAAGTCCCTGGCCCTCCCTGAGTTCCACATATAACAGCCAACTTTGGTGGAATGTTCACCATATGCCGGCCACTGGGTAGGAACTTCGGTGAACTCACTTGTCTTCACGGCAGCCCAGCGAGGCAGGGGCTGTAGCCAGCTCTGCTTCACGGAGGAGGAAGGCCAGGCCCAGAGAGGTTCTGTGGCTTGCACAAGGGCTCACAGCTACGAAGTGGAAGAGCTGGGATTTGAACCACAAAGCGTGGCCTATGAGTCACGACGGGCCCTCCCTTTCCAGGGCCCAGGGTTTAGGGCACGGGGACCGTGGCCCCAGCTCTTATTAGCATGAAACGAGGTTTGGCCCCTCAGCAACTTCAGGGGCCCCAGAGACCCCTCTGCTCTGCCCCATTTGGTGCCCAGCCCCGGAGCTACTCACTTGTGTGGGGTGTGAAGGAGGAGTGCCGCGCGGTGCCCTGGGACGCAGAGGGTGGAGGGGGCGGCATGCTGGGGGGCGTGGACCGGGGCTGTGTCTTCACCTCAGCGGGGGAGTCAGGCATCGCTGCAGCCTTCTCCTTCCTGTCCACGGCTGTGCGGGTGCAGGGAGGGAAGAAAAAGAGAGTGCGGTGAAGCAGGCTGAGAGGGGAGCGGTCAGCACCTCCCCAGCCACTCCTAGTGCCTGGCCAGCTCCCCGCCCCCAGCAGCTGGGTTTGGGGCTGTGCTGCTGGAGACCCGGGTGGGGGTTTCCCAGCTGGACCCAAGGTGGCTCCGTCTCTGCCCACAAAGCCAGCTCCAGTCCCAGGATAAGCCCCAGGTGTGTTCACAGGGGCTGATATCTCACTCACCTGGGGCCGGAGGGTGGGCATGGGTCAGCCCGTGTCAGGCAGGCTGCACGAGCCCTAGGCTGGCCAGCACGGGGGCTTGGATCCTCACTGGGCTGGGGGTGGGGCGGGGCTCTGGTACTGCAGACCAGGGAGCCGGGCAACACCCACTGAGGCAGGCTCCACCAGCACGTCCTGAAGGGCCTGTTCAGAGGCACATGCCGGCCTCCCACCCCCATTTCTGATTGAGCAGGTGTGGGGTGGGCGTCTGTTTCCCTCAGGGCCCCAGGTGAGGCTGCCGCAGGGGGTTGAGGCCCCATTCAGGCGGGAGTGGGGGTCTTCCCGGAGACACCGGGCGGTGGAAACTTCTTTTTAACCACCTCCCGGCCCTGGGCAACTCCTGGGAGCAGCCAGGCTGGGGACATGGTCAGTTTCAGGCCCGTCTAAGTCTGACCACTCCAAGTGTGGTCTGCAGATCAAGGGTTGTGGCCCTGGAAACTGCCAAAAGTCCTATGTGGTCTGATGGCCTGATAGGGGCCAGCTGTGTGGAGAGGGTGGAAGCAGCAAAATGAAACCTGGCTGGGGCCTGAGCTCCCGGCCCCACAGAGCAGGGCCCAGAGGAAAAGCCTCCGAGTTCCCCTGGCCAGGCACATACCCTGGGCCAGCAGCTGCCCGGGCGTTCTTTGCAGGTGGAAGGAGGGGAACACCGGACCTCCCCCTCCATCATAACGCAGGGTCAGCCCCGCCCGCGTCGACCGAAAAGACCTGGGAGTAGTGATGGGTTTGGGTGAAGACGGGCTTTCTCCACCTGTTACATTAGGGGGCGCAGCCCACCCTGCCCTGAGCTCGTCTTGCTAACTGATGGGGTCTCCTCCCGAGCCAGGGAGATGGTGGGGCAGAACCGCTGTCAAGGTCACTGCCCCTCAGCGGTCACTATGTGGCTACAGCTCTTCCCCTCTGCTCCCCACATCGGCCCCTTGCTCAGGGCAGACACACAGACGTGTGTGTGGGGTGGCCTGCCTCTGGGGATGGTGATGAATAACGCTCACAAATGGCATTACCGTCATCTCACGCTCAATGCTGTGCAAACCTCCCTTCATCTCTCCCTTCCGCCCCCTCAGAGAGGAGATGCCCACCGTCTGGGGAGGGGCTCTCACAGCCCCCCACACTGAGGGCCCCGGGGAGTGAGAGGGAAGCCCCCGCCCTGCTGGGCCCCATGGAGGGAAGCAGCCAGAATCAGCCGTCACCCGGCCTCGCAGCACCTGCTGTCCACTCAGCTGCAGCCGCTGGCCTCCCTCCCGCCGGGCACCCCGCTCCCCCTCCCCCCCAGCCGGCCTGTCAGGAGGCTGATGGCTGGGCACATGTGCACTGCAGCTGTGGGGCCCGTCAACACCGTGCCTGGCTGCAGGGCCAGTCCCTGGTGACAACCAAACAAGGCAAGCGTGGCTGGCCGCCGCGGGCCTCGGGCCACCCCTCAGGGTGCAGACTGTCCTGGCCAGCCCTTCATCTGACCAGGCCACCCCAGGGCAGGCGGTGCCACCAGCATGCTTGGAAGGGTGCTTCGGATGCCAACCTGGGACACGGGCCGCAGGGCCTGTCCTGACTTTCCAAAGCCCTTCCACACTGGGGCTTGGCGGGAGCCTCAGAGACGACACAGAACAGAGAAGCCGATAAAGGAAAGCCCCGCTGGGGAGGGCCACTCAATGCGCTGACCCTCCCTACACGGTGCTTGTTTAACAAGCGCCTCCAATGGTCAGAGAGAGGCGGAGGACGGGCCCAGGCAGGACAACTCGACACGTCGCACTATCTCCGCAGCCCCTGAGAGCGGGCTCTGGATACATACACCCACCCACAACGCCCGCTGGGACTCCGGATGGAGCAGGCAGAGCTCTGCTGGTGCCCGGCAACCTCTGGCGAAAGGAGAGGGAGGCGGCGCCAGGCCATCTGTTTACTTAGGAGAGGAGGCAGGACCTGCTCTCGGCCCTGGACAGTCATCACACCTTTTATTCTCACCAAAACCCTGTTTCGCAGGCACAGAGAGGTGCAGTAATCTGCCCAGGGGCGCACAGCAAGTCTGGGTGCCTCCCTGCAGAGTCACATGGGCTTGCAGGGTTTCGTGGTTGTCACCCATAGACACTCTTCTCCTCTAGGAGGGGCGTCAGGTTGCCCAGAGCCTGAGCATGCTGGGGCCATCGGCGCACCATCCGGGATCTCAGGAGTCTTTCTTAAATCTTGTTGGAATCCCGGCTCTATTTCCCTCCAGGCAATGTGACCTAGGGCAAATTTCCTCATCTCCACTCCTCCATAAGGGGGCAGCGGTGAGCACCCGCCACTGGGCGGCTGGGGGCTCGATGAGATCAGGTGAAGGGTCTGCCCATAGGAGCACGCAGTGACATTCGGCAAAGGTGTATAGAGCAGCTCCTGTGCTGGGTCCCTCCTCCTGAGGCGGCCCTCAGCACAGGCCCACCTCAGGAAGGGGAAAATGACGAGGGCCCTCTGTGAAGAGCAGAGGTGGTGTGGAGATGAGGAGGAATGGCCTGCGGTCAAGGAGCAGAGAGCACAAAGGCCAGAGGCCAGTGTGCACAGCCTCTAGTTGTGCAGAAAAATGGGGCAGGAAGGCAGCCGGGCTGGGCTGGGGAGGGTAGACTAGGGTGACCAGATGTCCCGCTTCTGGCGGGACAGACCCGATTTTTAACAATTTGTCCTGCGTCCTGTGGCGTTTTAAAAAAGTCCCGATTTAAAAAAAAAAAAAAAAAATCCTGCAAGACGCGGGACAAATTGTCAAAAATCGGGACTGTCCCGCCCAAAGCGGGATGTCTGGTCACCTTGGTGTAGACTGCTGAGTGGCAGTGGGAGCCACGGAGGCTCGGCACAGCAGCTGGGAGGGTCTGGAGTGCGCACGTGGTTTCTCCGGCCTAAATCCCTCCAGTGGCTTCCATACAGGTGGAGCTTCACCAGGCCTTACCCTGAGGGCAAACAGGTGCCTCTCGACACTCTAAGGAGCCCAAACAGGGGTAACTCTGTTCTCTGGTTTCCTGCTCTGCCCCCCTTCAAGGCCTCATACTGAGACCCCCAGACTCACTGGGATGCTCAGACCCCCAGCAGCTCTCCCACGTCCTTCCTGCCCAAGGCAGCCAGCATAGGGACGTGTAGGAGGGACCCTGGGCCCATAAGGCAGAGAGCAGGAGCCAGCCAGGGTGGGGCGGGGGGCGGGGGAGAGAGATGGGAGAGTCCAGGAGGGGCCGTGCTGTTGGATTCTAGGTGCCAGTGAGAGGGCCACCTCCTTTCCCGTTTCCCACCAAGGCTGCTGAGGGGGCCAGCATGAGCCAGCTCAGATGGCAGAGCTCCCACCAAGTCAAACCGCCGCCGGAAAACCTGGGCCAGCCCCACAAGACACTCTTTTGCTCCCCATTCTTTGTCCCCTCCATCCTCCAGCATCCACGCTCAGGTGTCCTCAGACCCAGTTGCGCTGGGCTCGTGTCCGGCACGTCCACACAGCAGCTCGGTGAACCCTCCCCGCCTCCCCGGAAAGTGCTGTCGGGGGCCAGGTGCTGGCTCCCCGAGGTCACCAGCCCATGAGAGGCAGACCCAGGCCTGCCCTGGCCATCGGACCCCGTGCTTATTCATCTTCTAATGGCCTGTCCCCACCCACAGGGGCTTTCTGTGCTGTCTTTCCCACCACGGATGCACAAAGGATGGGGCCCGCAGGCTCCTGAGAGGCTGGTGTCTTGAGATCGTCTGAGTGTGCAGGAGCCGATGGACGACATCCTCCTGAGAGGGGCGAGGGTGGGTAGAGGTGCCCTGTCCTCTCCAGCCCCTGGGATCGGGGCTTCCTGCTCCAGCTCACGGCCAGAGTTCCCCACCCCCTGCCTGCCGCTCCCGGCCCGAAAGCACATTCCCAGACCCTGTGCTCCCAGGGCCCGAGGGACAGCCTGTGTCTTTCCCAGACGGCGTATCCAGTTCCCAGCGAATGTCGCTAATCCATCCACAGAGGAAGCCGCTCTCCAAGGCCAGGCGGAGTTGGTGGGAAAGAACACGGAATGTGCCGGAACAAGCCACCCCATCCATCACTGTCCGTGTGCGCCTGTGGTTCCCAGCCCGCACTGCTTGTCTGAGAACTGGCCAGCGCCCAGGGCTCCCAGCCCTGGGGTTCTAGAACCCTCCGCAGAAGGAGGACCTGCTAGCGTCAGCACGGCTCATTTTCCCGGCTCTGCCCTCCTTGAATCCATGATGCTGCTGATATAACAAGTTCCCGCTTTGATCTTTTGTAGTGTGAGTCCTACTGTACCTCCTTTGACCCTCACAAAAGCCGAGCCGTGGATGTGGGAAGGCAGCAGGAATGGCAGGTGACCTGCTGCCGGCTCCTTGCACAGGTACTGACAGATAACAACAGTAAGCTCAGCTCTTGCTGCCTCAGGCCTTTGCACAGGGACTCACAGGCAATGATGCCAGGCCTGACCTGAGCACCCTGCATGAACCCCCTCATCTTGTCCTCACAGCAAGCCTGTGAGGTGAACAGATGAGACACTGAGGTATAGGGTGGGGAAGACCTGAAGCCAGGCTGCCTAGCCCCAGAGGCCACTCTTTGTGGGGTCTTGGGACAAGCTCCCACACAGAAACTGAGCAGGTGTCGCTCCTAGGTTGGGTACAGCTCCACCCTATGGCCCTCTCCAGGAGCTGACCTGCAGGCCAGGGTTCCTGAGGTCCATGGGGGGCTGGGGAGGGGCCCTGAACGGTTCAGCCCCTCTCAAGTCCCCAGCTTAACCAA